GGGTTGCAGGTGAGAGGGAAGTTATGGGGGGTGGGGGAAAGCCACTGTAATCCAAAAGCTGTGCATGGAAATTTATATTTATTAAATAAAAGTTAAAAAAGACTTAAATGATGTTAATTACATTAGAATTAACAAAGAATATAATATAATTTATTTTATATAGCTTTAAGTTACTGTCTAGTGTACTTTCATTTCATTCTGAAGGACCCTAACATTTCTGATGTAGGGCAGGTCTACTAGCATTTAACTCAATCATTTTTCATCTAGGGATATCTTAATATATCCTTTGTTTTTTAGAAATGTATCCATTTAAAAATCAGAGTGCAGGAGGGGATCTTCCATCTACTGGTTCATTCCCCAAATGTCTACAACAGCTGGAGCTGGGCAAGGCCAAAATCAGGATCCAGGGATTACATCTGTGTCCCCCACATGTGTGGCAGGGGCCCAATCACTTGGGCCATTATCTGATGCCTCCCAAGTATATTGGCAGGAAGCTGGATCAGAAACAAAGGTGGAGTTGATCCCAGGCACTTAAATATGAAAACAGGCATCCCAGGTTATGGGTTAACCCACTGTAATGCAATGCCTGTCCCTTCCTTCATTTTAAAAATGGTTTTGACAGATTTAAATTCTTGGTTGACAGTTTGTTTTTCTTTCATCACTTTAAGTGTCATTTCATTGCTTGCTTGTGTTTATGGTTTCTGATAAAAAGCTGTTTATTTTATTAAGGATTTTTTGTAGATGATGAATTGATTCTCTCTTGCTCCTTTCAAGATTCACTCTTTGTCTTTGGTTTTCAGTAATTCGATTATTATTTGTCTCAGTATGGATCTTTTTGCATTTATCCTTCTTGGAGCTCATTGGTATTTTTATATATGCATTAACAGTAAGTTAGATTATATATAGCTTTTACCACATTTGGAAAGCTTTATAGCATAATTTCTTCAAATATTCTTTTAGCCCCTTCCTGTCTCTCCTCTTTCTTTGGGCTCTCATTTTGCATATGCCAGTACATTTGATGGTATCACACATTTCCCTCAGGCTCTACTCAGTTTTTTAATGTCATTGTTGTTTTTCATTTTTCCTTTGTACTTTACAGACTTAATAATTTCATTCAGTTTTCAAGTTCATTTATTACTTCTGCAAAAAAAATCTGTTGAACCCTTCTAGTGTACTTTTTAATTTAAGTTATTAAATTTTTAGCTTCAAAATTTATATTTGAGCCTTTTTTATAATTTGTCTCTTTATTGATATTCTCTATTTGGTAAGACCTCATAGTTGGATTTCCTTTAGTTCTTTTTCCTTGATATCCTTTTGCTCTTTGATAATATTAAAGGAATTTAATTTAAATTTATTACCATTGAGTCAAATATGTTTCCTCATGAGTAGTTTCTGATATTTTTTTCCTTAGTTGAGTCAAACTTTCTTACTTCTTTGCATGCTTCAACTTTTTTTTAACTAGATTTGGAAAAGCATGGCTTTTATTATTATGATGACTCCAGAAATCCAATATCTCCTTTCCTTAGGAGTTTTTGTTACTGCTTCTTGTGTGCAGGTGTTTGTTTAGAGAATTCTGAATGTTTTGGTAAAGATTGAGCTTATGGGTTCTCATGCCTTTCCTGAGCATGTGCCCTGCCCTAGGCATACACATGTCTTTCTAGATTCTCTCGTATACATGCGAACTTTTCAAAGACCTTATCTTCTCTCCTTCCTCATTCTCATTCTCCAACTCAATGTACCTATTATTAACCCCAGCTTTTATATCTTGTCCCAGGTTGCAGAGGTTTGTTTTTGTTCCTCGGTGTTTAGGGAACATAACCCGATGTAGCCACAGAGTTCCAAGTAAACACACACAACACACAAAGAAAACATCCCCTTGCATAGTCTCTTGTGGAAATTTGGTTAGGTTAAAAGAGAAAAACAGTTCCCTGTGGAAAAGCTCTTCTTTTCCCTCTGAAGCCTTGTGCTGACACCAAAATGGGCTGCTATCTTTGAAATCATTACCCCATAAACATTGCTAGGGTAAAATAAAATGCAAGAAAAGGGACAAGCATTTGGTGTAGCAGTTAGGGCCATCTCATATTGGAATGCCTGGGTTTGAGCCCTGGCTCTACCACCAATTCCAGCTTTGACAGTGATCTTTGAACTCTCCAACTCTTCCTTTTCCATGACATGGCACTTTTTAAACTACAGTATTTTATGCATGCCTGTGAATGGCTGCTTAGGGAAGTGAGTCAGGGTTAAGAAAATCTAGGTTTAGAAACAGACGTCAATATTGAGTTTCTTTCTCCTCCTCTCTGTATATTTGTTTTTTCAATTTATGAAATAATAAAGATGTTTTGTAAGGTTACTATGAGCATCAGATGCAGACAATTTTAACTACCTATACAGGAACTGGTCCTCAAGAAATGGAGTTGTTCAAGTATTGATGAAGCTTCCTGTGTCCCACTGCTCATAGACTCCTTTGTCTTTTCCCAAAGCATCTTCATTCTTTCATGTAACCCCCCAAAGGGAGATAAGCTAGAAGTTATCCCTAGATTCCAGAACAAGCTAAAATGTCAGACTGTTAATGGGATGGATTTAAGAGCGAAGTATTCATTCTCTTCATAAAGCATGCTTATAGACCAATGTCTGCTAATAATAAGTATTTGAATTAAAAAGGAGAGAACGATCCAACATGGGAAGCAGGATACACAGCAGATCCATAGAATGGGAAATGCCTCAGAATCAGCCCTTAAGGAATTTGGATCTGGCCAAAACGCCCATGAGAGCTTCTCAGGCATGAAAAGCCAAGACACTGTGGCAAAAAATGACCTAAATGTAAGGTCTCTGTGAGTGAGATCCCAGTGGAAAGAAGGGGCCATCAAAGAAGGAGGTACCTTTCTCTGAAGGGAGGAGAGAACTCCTACTTTGATCATGGCCTTGTCTAAATAAGGTCCAAGTTTGTGAACTCAAGAGGCTTCCATAGCCTTGGCAGCTCATGACAAGAGCCTCAGGTGATTACTGATGTCATAGTAAGAGTGTCAATTGTTAAATCAACAACAGGAGTCACTGTGTACTTTCTCCCCATGTAGGATCTCTGTCCTTAATGTGTTGTACTATGAGAATTAGCAGTAAAACTAGTCATCAAACAGTACTTTATACTTTGTGGGTGCAAACCATTGAAATCTTTACTTTGTATATACTAAGTTTATCTTCTCTATATAAAGATAATTAAAAATGAATCTTAGTGAAGAATGGGATGGGAGAGGGAGTAGGAGATAGGATAGTTTGTGGGTGGGAGGGTGGTTATGGGGGGGGGGGAAGCAGCTACAATCCAAAAGTTGTACTTTCAAAATTTATATTTATTAAATAAAAGTTTTCTTAAAAAATAATAAAGCATGCTTATAAAAGGAAAAACACTATGCAACAATATAATTGGGGAAAACAAAAACCCAGGACTAAATGGAGCCATTCAGTTTGATAAACGTGAATATGAATACCGGTGTGAACTAAGTCAACCGAGAGAAGGTATGCATTACGTATTGAAAATTCCAGTTAGGAAATGAAGAGTACTGCTGTGTTTTGATAGCAGGATGGTCAGTAATAGAGTTTTGTTTTATGATTTTTAAAATCTATCTAACCTCCCTTTCTTATCTCTTCCCTCATTAAATACAACATTTAATACTGAAGTTGACATAGAAATGTGTGTATTCATATTGATGTATAAATATGAGGGATCTTCAAAAAGTTTATGAAAATACATATTCTGAAAAAAATTATTAATGCAAGAATTTCAAAACTTTTTATACCAAAACAAACTTATCTTTTAATTCCATTTTCCATAAATTTTTTAAATCCCCTCATATATATGCTCTTTTGTAAATCTAATGCTGTAGATTTCTTTTTCTAAATGGTAATTCCAAGCCATTTCTGATTTGGACATTCCTTATGGACAAAAAAGAGGGGACCCCAACCCCAAGTTTGACTTGGGGGCTCTGTTTCCCTAATTTACAGCACCTGAGGGCAACTGGTATCTAGAGTGATTGCCATTGAGTTATTTTATTTTAACCATGTTAAAATCAACTGGGGAACTTTGAAAAATGCAATCAATGTTCAGTTCTCACACTAGACCAAATGAATCAACATCTCCTGGGAGGAGATCAAGATGTTAGTGTTTTTAAAGCTTCCCAAGTAATTCCATTTTTTTTCAGTAGATCTGAAATCCAGGAGTCTAGGGCAATGTTTCTGGAGCAGTAGTTCTGGGATGAGGACTGGACTTATGCATCTCTGACAAGCTTGTTTCCAGTGATGCTGCTTTTGCATATCCTTGGACCACACTGAGTAACAAGGCTACAGAAGAGATCCATGCCTCATTTTATAAGACACATGGGTTATACAATAACTTTAGGTGCCTGATTCATTAGCTATAACATTGAAGGCTTAGGTTGGATCACCACTGAGTTTACTTTGCCTCTCCAAACTTGTAGTTTTTAATACTGGCAAGGTCAGGCATCCCTTATGTTCCTCAAGGGGCCAGATCACTGGTGCCTCTGCCTAGCATTTGTTGAATCTTTGGCTGTGAGGCTGCAGAAGATTGACTCCAGATTCAGAAGGGGCACAGAGACAGGGCTTTCTAAACCTCCAAGTTCTCCAGAGCATATAGAATGCTTATTTTAAAGGCTCTGGGGGCCCTACCAGCTGAGATTCTGATCTCATAAGTCTAGGCTGGAGCCTAGAAAGAAAGAGTTGTTGGCAATAATTGTAGTTGAAACTTATTAAATCTTTACTATATGTTAGGTTCTGTTCCAAAAAATTCATAACCAAAATCCGTTTTATTTTCATAATGATTCTGCGACCTAGCGACTTTTGTTATCATCAATTCGCAGACTGAAAAAACTGACAAAAGATGTTAGGTAATTTGAAGCAGGCATTTTGCTTAGCAGTCAAGACATGAATTGAGACAATGGCAACCTATATTGGAGTTCCTGGGTTCTAGTTCCAAGTTCTCCACTCCACATTCCAGCTTCCTATAAACGCATACTGGGAGGATGGCTCCAGAATTAAAATTTGAACCAGTTAGTTGGTTCTGATGAAGGTGTCTCCCAGATCACATGTGAGTTCCCATACTCTCCTTCTTTAGGTGACTTCGATGTATATGCAAATTTGGGGATCATTTACAGAATGGGAATTGGGGGGGCAAGTATTGTGGCACAGTAGGTTAAGCTGTCTGTTGGGATGCCTACATTCCATATCAGAGTACCTGGGATCAGGTCCCACCTCTGCTTCTGATTCAGCCTCAGGCTAATGTTCTTGGAAGCAGCAGGTAGTGGAATGGATGCTTGGATTCTTACCATCTATTAGCAAGATACAGATGGAGTTCCTGGCTCCTGGCTTTGGCATGGCCCAGCCCTAGCTGTTGTGGGTGTTTTGAGAGTGAGTGTAGAAGATCACACGATAAGTCAGGAAACAGAACAGGTGGGATCAAACTCAGGCTTCTGTAACAACTCTCTCACAAGAATTCAAGTGGCCACACTTGTTCAGCCTTACAAAAGATGCTTACACACAGAAACACAGAGAGATAGCAATCATTATGAAAAATATGAAGGCAGAAAATACCTCAGTAAAAGTACAAAAGAAATCAGTTAATAATAGGAATATTAATGGAAAAAATGTTAGGCCAAGTTGTTACTTAAAAATAGTCACCTTGAATGTAAATGGCCTCAACTCTCCAATTAAAAGACATACACTGAATGGATTAAAAAACAAATCTGGCTGGTGCCATGGCTCAATAGGCTAATCCTCCACCTAGCGGTGCCGGCACCACTGGGTTCTAGTCCCGGTCGGGGCGCCGGATTCTTTCCCGGTTACCCCTCTTCCAGGCCAGCCCTCTGCTGTGGCCCGGGAAGGCAGTGGAGGATGGCCCAAGTCCTTGGGCCCTGCACCCCATGGGAGACCAGGATAAGCACCTGGCTCCTGCCTTCGGATCAGCGTGGTGTGCCGGCCACAGCGTGCCAACCGTGGTGGCCATTGGAGGGTGAACCAACGGCAAAAGGAAGACCTTTCTCTCTGTCTCTCTCTCTCACTATCCACTTTGCCTGTCCAAAAAACAAACAAACAAACAAACAAACAAAAAACTATCTCTTTGCTGCCTACAAGAAACACGTGTCATCAACAAAGATACATGCAGACTGAAAGTGAAAGGATGGAAGAAGATATTCCATGCCAACAGAATGCAAAAAGGGGCAAGTGTTGCCATCCTAATGTCATACAAATAGATCTAAACATAAAAACAGTTAAAAGAGATGAAGAAGGGCACTATGTAATGATTAAGGGATCAATTCAACAGGAAGATGTGACTATAATAAATATATATGCACCCAATTACAGGATACCTGGATATTTAAAAGAAATGTCAATGGATCCAAAGGGAGATATAGACTCCAATACAATACTAATGGGGGATTTTAAATTGCCACTTTAATCAATGGACAGATCAACTAGGCAGAAAAATCAACAAAGAAATGATAGAGCTAATCAACACTACAGACCAAATGGAACTAACTGATATCTACAAAACTTTTCACCTCACAGTTGCAGAATACACATTCTTCTCACCAGTGTATAGAACTTCCTCTAGGATAGACCATATGCTGGCCACAAAGCAAGTCTTGGAAAATTCATGCATTTTCTCTGACCACAATATATCCCAGATCAAGCTCTCACACACATTTGGAAAGTGAAGCAGAAATTGGGCAATATCTTTTTCTCCCTTTCAAAGGAAAAAAAATAGAAGGATGTATTTATATTATTATAAGAATGAAGCTGGAAATCAACAACTCAAGAATCTCTAGATCATATGCAAAAACATGGAAAAAGAGAAGAAAACAAAAGAGCGATCAAAAAATTTATGAACATGAATGAAGACAATAATACAACATATCAAAACTTACGGGATACAGCAAAAGCAGTGTTAAGAGGAAACATTATATCAATCAGTGCCTAAATGAAGAAATTGGAAAGGAACCAAATAAATGAGCTATCAATACATTTCAATGACCTAGAAAAACAACAACAAACCAAACACCAAATGTGTTGGAGGAAAGAAATAATTAAAATTAGAGAAGAAATAAACAAAATTGAACCCCTCCCCAAGAAATACACGAGATCAGTGAAATAAAGACCTGATTTTTTGAAAAAATAAATGAAATTGATATACCATTGGCCAAAATAGTCAAAAAAAGAAAGAAGATGGAGAAGACCCAAATCAATAAAATCTGAAATTAAAAAGGAGATATAACAACAAATACCACAGAAATAAAAAGAACCGTAAGGAATTACAGCCAAGAGCTGTATAACAACAAATCGTGAAACCTAGAAAAAATGGATAGATTCCTGAAAACATGCAATCTACCAAAATTAAGTCATAAAGACATGGAAAAACTAAACAGACCAATAATCAAGATGGAAATTGAATCCACAATAAAGACCTTCCCAAAAAAGAAAAGCCAAGAACTGGAGAGCTTCACTGCTGAATTCTATCACATATTTTTTTAAAATTTTTATTTAATAAATATAAATTTCCAAAGCACAGCTTTTGGATTACAGTGGCTTTTTCCTCCCATAACCTCCCTCCCATCCACAAATCATCCTATCTCCTGCTCCTCTCCCATCACATTCACATCAAGATTCATTTTCAATTCTCTTTATATACAGAAGATCAATTTAGTATATATTAAGTAAAGATTTAAACAGTTTGCACCCACACAGAAACACAAAGTATAAAGTACTGTTTGAGTACTAGTTACACCATTATATCACATAGTACAACACATTAAGGACAGAGATCCTACATGGGGAGCAAGTGCACAGTGACTTCAGTTGTTGATTTAACAATTGACACTCTTATTTAGGACGTCAGTAATCACCCGAGGCTCTTGACGTGAGCTGGCAATGCTTTGGAAGCCTCTTGAGTTCACAAACTCTGACATTATTTAGATAAGGCCATAGTCAAAGTGAAAATTCTCTCCTCCCTACAGAGAAAGGTACCTCCTTCTTTGATGCCCCATTCTTTCCACTGGGATCTCACTCACAGAGATCTTTCATTTAGGTCATTTTTTTCCAGAGTGTCTTCGCTTTCCATGCCTAAAATACTCTTACGGGCTCTTCAGCCAGATCTGAATGCTTTAAGGGCTGATTCTGAGGCCAGAGTGCTGTTTAGGAAATCTGCTGTTTAGGAGTCTGCTGTGTATCCTGCTTCCCATGTTGGATCGTTGTCTCCCTTTTTTATTCTATATGTTAGTATTAGCAGACACTAGTCTAGTTTGTGTGATCCCTTTGACTCTTAATCCTATCATTATGATCAATTATGAACTGAAATTGATTACTTGGACTAGTGAGATGGTATTGGTACATGCTACCTTGATGGGATTGAATTGGAATCCCCTGGCACGTTTCTAACTCTACTGTTTGGGGCAAGTCCAGTTGAGCATGTCCCAAATTGTACATCTCCTCCTTCCCTTATTCCCACTCTTATATTTAACAGGGATCACTTTTCAGTTACATTTAAACACCTAAGAATAATTGTGTGTTAATTATAGAGTTCAACCAATAGTATTAAGTAGAACAAAAAAAATACTAAAAGGGATAAAGTATTAAATTGTACATCAACAGTCAGGACAAGGGCTGATGAAATCATTGTTTCTCATAGTGTCCATTTTACTTCAACAGGTTTCCTTTTTGGTGCTTGTTTAGTTGTCACCGATCAGGGAGAACATATATTTGTCCCTTTGGGACTGGCTTAATTCAAACAACATGATGTTTTCCAGATTCCTCTATTTTGCTGCAAATGACCAGATTTCATTTTTTACTGCTGTATAGTATTCTATAGAGTACATATCCTATAATTTCTTTATCCAGTGTTCTGTTGATGGGCATTTAAATTGATTCCACATCTTATCTATTGTGAATTGAGTGGCAATAAACATTGAGGTGCAGACAGCTCTTTCATTTGCCAATTTAATTTACTTTGAGTAAATTCCAAGGAGTGGGATGGCTGGGTTGTATGGTAGGGTTATATTCAGGTTCCTGAGGAATCTCCAAACTGACTTCCATAGTGACTTTACCAGTTTGCATTCCCACCAACAGTGGGTTTGTGTCCCTTTATTCCCCATAGCCTCTCCAGCATCTGTTTTTGGTAGATTTCTCTATATGAACCATTCTAACTGGGGTGAGGTGAAACCTCATTATGGTTTTGATTTGCATTTCCCTAATGGATAGTGATCCTGAACATTTTTTCATGTTCTACCAGACATATAAAGAAGAAGTAATTCCAATTCTTCTAAAGCTATTCAAAACTATTGAAAAGGAGGGAATCGGGAATCCTCCCAAACTCCTTCACCAGCATCACCTTAATTCCTAAGCCAGAAAAAGATACAACAGAGAAAGAGAACTATACATCAATATTCCTGATGAACATAAATGCAAAAATCCTCAAAAAATACTAGCTAATCAAATCCAACAACATATCAGAAAGATCGTTCATCCAGACCAAGTGGGATTTATCCTTTATATGCAGGGATAGTTCAACATTCACAAATCAATTTTGTGATACATCACATTAACAAATTGAAGAACAAAAATCATATGGTTATCTCAACAGATACAGAGAAAGCATATGACAAAATACAAAATCCCTTCATGATGGAAACCTTAAGTAAATTGGGTACAGAAGGAACATACCTCCACACAATCAAGGGAATTTATAACAAACCCATGCCCAGTGTCCTATTGAATGGGAAAAAGCTGGAAGAATTACCCCTAAGATCTGGAACCAGACAAGAATGCCTACTCTCACAATTGCTGTTTAAGATAGTCCTGAAATTTTTATCCACAGCAATTAGGCAAGAAATAGAAATCAAAGGGATACAAATTGGAACAGAAGAAATCAAACTATCCCTTGTTTGCAGATGACATGATTCTATATATAGGGGATCCAAAAGATTCCACTGAGAGATTTTGAAACTCATACAAGAGTTTAGTAAAGTGGCAGGATATAAAATCAACACAGAAAAATCAATAGCCTTTGTATACACAGAAATTGATGACTGGGAAGGA